TGCCGTTACTGATGGTCCTGTCACCGATCCAGCATCAAATAACAAGGTAAATTATAAAACACTATGGCCAGATATTTAAACAAACGAATTATTTTAACTTAAATAACGTTAATATAATATCATGATAATGTATTGCCACGAGTATTGTATTTACCGCCGTACTAATCTCTGATTAATTAAGTCATTTCTGAAAATAAAATATTTCTTTTTTTAATTTATTCTTTTACTGTATCAAAGGACAATTATTAAACAAAAAGCTAAGTTTTTGCTTGTTGTTATTCTTGTCTTCTTATTTTATTAAATTGTATAAAGTCTTTAGTTTATTCTTATATTCTTTTACCTTTGTTTTGTTTTTCTGTTACATCTCAACCCAACCCTTTTAAGTCTTATGACCACATGTTGCTATTATGTAATGCAACACATGGTACTAATTGATATATGGTCTGATGTATACCTTTTGTTTATTGTCAAATAACTTCTTCGCATTGTTATTACAAATTGAATTCCATCATCATAACTTAACAAATATTATGTATAAATATTAAATATTATCCTTATAAGTGTTAATCAAATTGAATATTGATTTAGTTTTATATTTTACTGATCAATCACACATTGTTAATAAGTGATTTTCAAAGTCTTTATGAGATAATGTTATTAGAAGTTTTTCAATATCTATGATAATCAGAAATATAATTTATAAGCAGACTTTTGAGTTAAAGATATTTTTTCATTTAAAGAACTGTTGTAACTAGCTCTTCATTACTGTTATACAATATAGAAGTAATGTTATGATAATTGGCATGAAACTTGCAGGCAATTCACATACATGAGATCAGCTGGTATGAACAATACATCTTAAATTACTCTGTTCTATATTGATATTTTTAAATTTATAATTACATAATTATAAATACAATATAAAGACAAAATATTTAATTTTTTTATACATATTATTTTAATCATATCTTTATATATCTATATCTTTTCATAATAATACTTTAATAGATAAATTACACCATGATAAAGAATTATATAGGTTGTTTAATGCTTTCAATAACATTAAATATATTATATATGTTATTTATTATAAAGTATACAGACATGTATACTTTTAATCTCCATAATGCAAAAAAAAATTAAAAGGTGATTTGCATGCAATTACACATATTGTCTGCTATCAAAGTGCTTATATTATTTTACATATAGAGCATTATTCTCACAGTAGTCCGTAGGTTCGGTACCAATCACTCATGCATCGCTCATTATAAGCCTAAATAGATCATATAGGCGTGGCACAATTAGCACTACCGAATCAACATCTTAAATACAATAAATAAATAACTCAAGAATAATTCCAAAAAAAGGAGATACTTTTTTATATATAAAACTGGTATTTTATTAACATGCAAGTACAACCTTTGGGAGCTTTGTACCAAACTACGGACTGTATTATAAAAATTTGATTCAATTTAAATCATGAAATGGTGGTTGTTGTGATTTCAGAGCTTAGAGGCATCAAATAGTGCCTTTCACGGCGCGAGAACAAAATTAGTAAGTAAGAATATGTGTGTACAAAACAAAAAGTAAATTTGTACTCCTTTCCATAGAGTAATCCTTGCAATTTCCTCAGGACTGCTTTAATTCCTATGACTTCATAAATGTGGTATGTGCCAATGGGTTTATCATTTTTGCCTTCTCATCAAATAACACAAGATAATAATAAGATGATTTCTATTGATATAAATTGGAATTGTATTAATAATTTACAGCTACTTATATTTAAAATTATACAGTACTATAATTATTTAATTAATTTATTTTGCTTCATTAATGTGTAAATAATATTAATAAGGTAATATCAAATGATATATACTAATAATAGAATTGGTACACATCGTCTATATTAATCTGTCTTCATCTACCAAATAAATTAGCTTCATTTGCATTTTTCTGTTTGTAGTCCATTTCCATCTATTGCAGCCTTTTTTAAGATGAAAAATATTCATAATTTTATAATTATGACTTTTTAAATGACTCTTTAAATGTTTAGGATTCCAAGTCTGGAGCTTTGAAGAAGTCCAGTCGTTATCGTAGTCGCTCTTTGTCGGCTAGTAGTACAGACAGTTATAGTTCTGGTATGAATGTACTCATTAATATACTGTACATTTAATAATTACAATCTAATTATTGCTAACTCGTTACAGTTAATTCTATTTGTCTCCTACAATTTTAGCATCCTATACAGGAAGTTCGTCAGATGAAGATGATGTATCACCTCGTGAAAAAATTCAAAAAACAGAAAATGGTTTTACAGATTTTTGTGTACGCAATATTAATCAACATGCATTTGGTAGAAGAGAGATAGAAATAGCAGAACAAGAAATGCCGGGTATTAT